TAGTCAGATTATATGAACACATAAGAGCGTGCCATCCATGTGCATGTCAACAAGCTTAGAAGGAGCATCCATAAGCAAAAGAACAAGTCACAATGGCATTTATATCTGTACTTTCATGACTGTTTATAAACACAGGCTTCTTTGGGCTGATACTTCTCTGAAAATATAGACTAACGTAAACAAAAGGTTAGCCCTGGCTGTGATGGTGTTCTGTAGGCCACAGTCAGGCATTTAAAAAAATATCATCAGCCTGCTACGAAAGTCCATCCACTCGGTACCTCAAATTCTCAAACAGTTTATTTGAACGCTGGGTGAAAGAGGAATCTCCTACAAGTTTTGGGCTTTAACAAGGTAAACAAATGGGTAGACTGCAAATGTAAACATGGCATTTCCTTCCAGGCTCATCCCAGTTTCTAAAATTCCTCTCCCTCCCTCCTTTCAGGCTTCTCATTCCCAAGGTTGGTCTCTTGTACCCAGTAAAAGTACGGAAATTGCAAAAGAGACATTTTTAATTATAAGTACTACAGTAATGAATTCAAGTACACTCATTTATCATAAAGGGCTTTCCCATCTGTCTCTAAAGTATACTTAAAAATGCTGTGTATTTGATAACATTAGCACAAGCATCTTCCACGTTAATGTTCATCGGTTTAGATGTTCACTCCCCACCCCCAAAGCCAGCCTAGTGGTCGGTCCAGAAAGAGCACGTTTATCTCTATGTTTGGAAGTGCCTGTGTGGTCTCTTCCTAATTTATTTGTACTTCAATCCTTGGGGATCGCTTCTCAATCCCTCTAGGCAAAGGGAGATTAGGGAATGGGGCTGTCTGCTTTTCCCCACCCTGCCAGACAAGGGAAAACAACTTCCCCAAGTCCCACAAGTTTTTCTGGCCACTGTACAAATTGTTCTTGAGCATGGAGAGTTTCCAAAAGCCCTAATTAGCAACTTACAGCAAACATTTCTTTGCATTAGCTAATGATCGGGCTACACTTGTAAGCAAACAGAACCAACATATCTAATCAATGCTGAAAAACCAACCAAACGCCTATTAAACATCTGGATGTAATCTTCTAGTTAGAACAAAATGAAAACATATGCAGGTTCCTTTGATGTGCGTCTTAACAAAGAAATTGTTGATAAAAAAAAAACACACTGGTCAGTCAATGTGTCATTCTCATAAAGTCTGCTCATTTTTCTTCAAATGCTCCTAGTTTAATTTAGCTGGTTTCCTGCAATCTCTAATTTTACCATATTGTGTGAAACCACAAGAGATTCTTTGGATGTGATTTTATTTGAGGTTTTACTGCTGTATGGATCTGCTACTGATTTTTTTTCCTTCCTCTGCCTTCTCCCCTCCACCTCCAGGCCCATCCAGTTCTTTTCTTTGGTAATGGGGTGGGGAGAGGAAAAGATTACAAAGTAATGCCGTGAAAATTTCTTCTGGACCTTACATTCTTAAAGGGTTTAAGAAAACTCTCAGTTGGGGGGGGGGGTGGGCAGGAAGCCAAGTGAGGAAATGTAATAACTTTTAGTTAAAAGGAAGAGAAAATGACAAAAGTAGTCTTTTAAAAATTGCCACAATTATCTCATATAAGAGGGTAATAGATTTAAAAGAAGCCATAATTTTTATGATTAGCATCCATATATTTTCCTATGGTGTGTAGTAGCATCCAAACTGTATAACATTTAGTGTTTTGCAAGTTTTAAAATTTTTATCATGTTATTGTTGTTCTGGGGTACATTGTGACATTTGCCAAAGTGCTTACAATATATCTTAGTCAAATTCACTCTCTCCATCATTCTCCTTTACCTCTCTTCCCTTCCATTCTTTGAGTAGTTTCAACTCTACTGGAAAATTTTTCCATTTTCATACACAAGTACATAATTAACATTTAGTTTCTTCATTACTGATGCTATTTGTGAGTTGAAATTTTGAAAAACAGCAACAAATGGATGGACATATACTCATTTATACATCAACATAAAATCTTTGATTCTTTTGCAGAGGATAAAAGAAGTACTGCTTTATTTCAAAATTAACTTCCTATGGAACCAGTGTACTTAATATTACTTCACATAAAAGCATCACAAACATATGAGTATGTTAAAGGTAAAGAGGATTATGGCAACAGTCTTTAAGTAGAAGACCTAAATTATAGATTTCATGAGTAGGACTATTTTCTTTTAAACAGGCTGAAGGCAATCTGCACATATATTATTTATTTAAAACATAAGATTAAAGCTACTTGATTGTTTAAACACCATCATTTGTAATGCAGTTTGATGAGAGTTTTGTAGTATAATTACTACAGCATGACAATCATGGAGAAAATATGACCTTGAAAAAGGACAGTCTTCTCCCTCTCTTAAGAAAGATACTGTGAATGAGAAAGATACCTTTGAAAACCAGCCATCTTCATACATGCAATTAAAGGCCTACCAATTTTAAAATCAGTGTACATTTATGTATTTTGTTTTGTTTTTTCCTCCACATATTACATTTTTAGGATATCAGAAGGCCTGGTCTGGTTTCAGACTCTGTTGGTAAAGAAACACAGTTGAAAGTGTATTTCCAGTTTTTACTCCTAGTAAACTGGGAAATATGGTGAGTGGACACATTTTCATTGAAGTTATTAGAGAACATTTAAAGTTCTCTAATTCATAAATGTATTACGAATTATTTTGTAGGAACTGAGGAAGGGGGAAGAAGATAGGTAGAACATGTTTGCTCCTGTCCCCAACCATACTGTTCTAAGTTTTCTGTTTAAACATAATTGCCAGTGTGCCCATTTAGTCAAGGCACCCTAAGGTAAAGCTTAGGGAAGGCAGAGAGAAGCCTCAGCTTGTGTACAGCATACTTGCGGCATCCAAACACTTCCTCCCCAGGACTGGAGTGGATTATGGGATGATATGACCACAGACTGGCACATGTGGCAAAATCACTGGATAATTTCAAGGGAACACATTACTTGCCCATGGATCATATGATTTCAAAAAGCCCTGAATGTGGAGCAAGACTGCCTTTCTTCACCAAATTTAACAAAGGAGGGGCCATGCTTGCTTACTGTTCATTCTCCCTGTTAGTAAAATACAATGAGTAACATAACCCCCTTCCCAATTCCACTTAAGAAAAACACCAAAGCTCCCACACCGAATTTGCTGAAGAATTTACTATGTTCTTCAGACTGGCTAAAATTGCTCTTTTACTTTTCATTTATAATTGATATTTGAGATTGATGCAATTATAGGCAAATCAGTATCATACATATTTAAAAACGCCAACAGCAAAACGTATTAGGTAAAATGATTTAAAAAATATTTCAAAGAAAAAGATCTCTGTAAAAGCAAATCTTCAAATATAAGACATGCCTGTTTTATAATCTTCCCACAAGTCTCTTGAAGGTAAAATAAAGGGAATGGGAGAGAGGTATTAATGCCTAAAGCTTGTTAACTAGGTTCCAATATAAGATGAATGCTTGTCGAAGGTGCGTGCACCTATCTTATGGAAGAAGTTACCACCATTTGGCTAAAATACCATTTACCCACTGCCACCGTGAAAACAAGTTCCACTTAACTCTTAAAGAAACGTAGACCTGCGGCAATACTGAAGGTTTTCTGCTGTGTTCTACAGAGAAACAAACACTGGAGACTCTCACTACGAGTTATACAGCATTTCTCTTTAAATCTCAATATCCCTTTTAACTCAAGTCCCATCAAACCTTAGCCACGTCATTTACCTAACTCTTCGCATACAGCAGCCAACACAGCTCAGCTCAGGGGTACCACCCAAACTATTGGGGTGGGGTTGGGTGGGCGGGACAGTTTTTTCAGGTCTCAAATGCTGGTTTATTTCATTGTCTGTCTTTGTTGCCAGGAATTGGAAACACACTCGTGGTCTTGTTCCTGGGTTTCCTAAAACCTTCAGCCACCTCCCTCTTCCTCTAATTCGGTGAAGTCAGATTTAAGACAGCGACCGGGATTTCTGGCCGTGGTCAAAGCATCTTGTGTGCGCTTTGGGATACTAACGCCTAATACTGGTGACATCTTTGCACAGAGTTGTTTGAAATCCCGAATCCTGCCACCTTAGGCGCAAAGGGTGGAGTGGGTGGGCATTATAGTCAAGTCTTAAGTCGCTGGTGTATGCATGCCAGTCAACGCGTTGATCACTTGGGCATTTTCCATAAAGTGCACAGTCCACTTCTCGCGCGTCGCGCAAAGGCAGCTCTAGGAAAAACAAACCTCTGAGAAATTTTTGAATGTAACCTCACTTTCGGCCGACACCGAAAAACGCATTTTGCTCGAATTACCAAGACGCGCCCCACTCCATCCTTCCCAAATAAGAAACCACAGGGTTAGTCTGTGAGCTACTTTCACGGAGATCCGAGAATTTTCAATAAATGGAAAAGTGAACAAGTGGCAGGATTTCTACAAACTCGAGCCCCCGGCTTCCACCGCCGCACGCTCGCAGGTCCCTCCAGCTCGCGCGCACTCGCGCGCTCCCCAGTCGACCCCACGTTACTTTGATTGACAGCCCGGCCCCGCCGCTCTCCTTCCCACCGACCTTCCAATCCTCCGTGCCAATCTCCGTGTCTCGCCGCTTCCCATTGGCTGGCTTTGGCGTCCGCGGCTCCTCCAGAAACAGTTCCTCACCGAGCCCGGGAGAACGCGGCGGGCGGAGGAGGGGCGGGGGGGCGGGAGAGGGGTGGATGGAAGGAGAGACGGGGGAGACGGCGGAGATGGAAGCGAGCGGGGTGGGAGAGGAGTGGGGAGGGGGAGCAGACTATCCGGTGCAGCTCTACCATAGGTTCCAGGGCGGCGTTGCGTCAGCGCCCCACGTTGGACGCGACGCACACGATTGGCTGACGCTGGACCTTCCCGCCGCCCAGGCCCACGTCCCCCGCCGGCTCTACGCTCGCGGCCCCCGCCCGCGCGGGGCTGGGCGGGGCCGGCGCTGGTTAGCTCCGGAGTGTGAAACCGCGTGTTAATGTAACCGGCGCGAGAGGCGCGGGCGGCGGTGGGAGCGGTGGCTGCAGGAGCAGCAGCAGCGGTACCCCGCGCCCCGAGTCCCCGAAGCAGCCGACTACGCCACCCCCACCGTCGAACGGTGGGGCCGGACCCGCGCCACTAGGCAGGACCTGTGTGTGCCGTCTCTCGGCGACGGAATCCTGGCAAGCCCCATCGCCTTAACGACTCCGGACTCGCCTGCTGAGTTTGCCTGCAGGAGAGGGAGGCCGAGCGGCGGAGTGCACTCCTGCTCTTCTTTACCATCTCGTGGATATCTTCTCCCGGGTCCTGAGAGAACTTTCCAGTGGACCGGAGTGCCCTTTGCAGAGGGGAGAACAGAAGGAAGGGAAGTAAGAAGGCCGAGGAGGAAGGGGCTGAAAGGGAGGGTGCGGGGCGCGGCGCCCTGATGCGCCCCAGGCTAGAGGAGCAGAGGGCGGTTGCGGGACTGCACTGCGAGGAGTAGCCCCGTCCGTCCTGGAGGGTTTGTGCAACCGCGGAGAACACCGAGTGCCGGTCGCACGGGGCGTGACGAGGCGCCTCCCGGCGCGCCCTCCGCACTTTCTCCGCCTAGTCATCCCTCGCTCCCCAACGGGGGCTGAGGCTCCGGACCCGCCGGACGGGGAGCCTCTGATTCGACCCTGACTTCGCTGTCTCTTAGGGGCTGTAAGCTCCTGGCCGAAGGCGCGGCGCGGACCCGCGGGAGTTAGCCTGGAACGCCGCCGGTTTGTTAGTGTGTGGGGTTAGTGGGGGCGCCGCGCCACCTGCACCTCGCCTGCCACCACCGCCGCCGCCGCAGGGAAAACCTGGAGAGGAGGCCGACCAGGAGAAGACCAAACAACAGCCCGTCTGGATTTGTCTGCCCGGGACGGTGCCCGGAACGCGGATCGCCGAGGGGAGCGCAGCAGGAGCCCCCACGCCCCCACTTCTGCCTTGGCCACGCGGTTTGTGGTATAGCCCCAGCGCACTGTCCCCGGGCGCCCGCGTCTCTGTGCACATTCTAGGGACAACCGGGCCCCGGGCGGTCCACTATGTGGCCCTGAGGGCTGGAGCCCGCACCAGCAGGAACAGGAGCAGCGGCCGGCGCCTAGTGGCCGGTGCGCCCCGCCGAGCGCGCTTGCGTGCGTGGCCAGCGCGCCCCCAACGTTCCCCACGTTTGCTTGGCTTTCCTGCTTAGTTTTCCTCCGCGGGATTAAAGTTGGAAATTGAGCGGAGAATTGAGTTGTCCGGGAACAGAGCCGCGGCTGCCGCCAGAGCAATGTTCCCGCAAAGCCGGCACCCGGTGAGTCTGAGTCCGGTGGGTGGATGGGGATACGAGCGTAGGTTGGGGAAATGCTTTTTCGTGCGACAGGAAGTCGTGCACCCCCCCTTTCCTCGGTGGTGGTGGTGGTGGGGGGTGTCCTGGTTGCTCCCATCCTGGGGTGGGAGTGAGCTGACACACAGTTTCTCCCTTTACTCTGGGCCCCCTCCTACTTGATGTCTAGACGGGGCGGACGAGGGCGCCAGAAGAGGTTGGAGTTTCTCGCAGCCACCTCTTCCCCTTTCCTCAAGGCGGATAGGGAGTCCCCCTCCCCCCCTTTGTTTGTGGTCTTGCTTATTTACATGTCAATGCGGCCCCCGTTCCGGTGTGCCGGGAGGTGGCCTGTCACTCTGGGAATGGGGAGCGTGAGGGAGTTGTTTTTCTGTCTGGTCCTCTGGGTCATTATAACCCCTGTAGGGGAGGGGAGGGCGACGCGGTCTGGCTTGGTCCTGCCCAGCCTTCTAGCAGTTCTTTCCATCGGGAGTGACCCAGTCGCACTTAGCACGATCCGCCTTGGAGGCCCGAGGATCTTCAGAGCCTCTAGAAGATGGGGGCCAGGGGAAGACCTACTTTCTCCTCCTCCAAAGTGAGTCGTAAACTCGAGTTTGGGGTTTCGTTTACCACCACTCTTAACTTTATTTTTTGTCCCACCCGTTTCTCCCTCCCCTGACTTTCTGCTTTATCCATACGCCCTGGGTCCCCCTCTCTGGTTACCCCCAGACGCCGCACCAGGCTGCAGGCCAGCCCTTCAAGTTCACTATCCCGGAATCTCTGGATCGGATTAAAGAGGAATTCCAGTTCCTGCAGGCGCAGTACCACAGGTGCGTGTCCGGCCGCGCCGGGCGGGCTATTGGTCACCCAGGCTGCCGGGTGCCCCTCGTCACCCGGCGACGGCGCCTGTACTTAGTACTTGTGTCCAGGCGGTGGCGTGTGGAGTCGCAGTTAAGACCTGTCATTCATGTTACCCCCTTTCCTGGCTCTTCCTGGCCGGTTCTTCCCTTGTCTCCTCCTCCTCCCATTGTTTCCCTTTTGCCCGTTTGCTGCTGTTCCAGGGAGTCCTTTTTCGTGTATTTAGGAGTTGCATGAGAACCGTCAATATTTGCACTTCACTTATTTATTTTGCAACAAGCTGAGCTGAAACATTGGTTTAATCGATGCCTCAGCACTCAGTGTGGGTTCAAGGAACCAAAGCCATGTTGAAATCACTGTTTGCCATCCTAGAAAATTGGGTTGTCTGAAACAAAGTCCATTAGGGACGGCTAGATGCTTTTAGTTACGCCCATCATTGGTAATGATGAAGGCAGAGGTGGATAGTAAGGGAAAGCACACCTGCCTCGGCCTGATTGTGGGCTGTTTTGGGTAGGACGAGGGAGTGGAATTACTTTTTTTTTTTTTTTTTTTTTTTGCTGTACTTGGGTTTGAACTAAAGGCCTACACCTTGGGCCTCTCGATCCTCTCTCCGCTTTTTAAAAAAATGTGATAGTTTTTCGAGATAGGGTGTTCCGAACTATTTGCCTGGGTTGGCTTCCAACCGCGATCCTCCTGCTGTCTGCCTCCTGAGTAGCTAGGATTATAGGCTGAACCACTGGAGCCCCAGCTGGAGTTACATTTATATTAAAAATGTTAACCTTAGTTTCTTCATGTAATGATACCTACATTCAAAGAATTTACTTTGTGTAGTATTGTGAATTGTCCAGAAAGGTTATTTACATTTTGGTTTATTGGAAATAAAAAATAACTGTTCTGACAGTTCTTTTCTTTTGTCATGCTTGAGAAAAAGCACTGAGATGTGGCTAAGTGGCTTGGTTGTGAATTTCTTATTTTGTCAGGGATTTTCTGATTATTGACCTTTTGTCAACTTGTAGATAATATCTCCAGAGCTTGTGGCATACTTGTACACACTGTGTTTACTGAACAGGGAGAACTTCAACCCACTTCATTGCAGTGGCCACTTGACATATTTTGGCAGGGATTTGAAAACCAAAGGTTTTGAAAGGGACTAACCATTGTAGAAGTAACTTTTCACATAAGATTTTCAAATCTGGAGACTGTTTTTAACTTGGCAAAGATGGTACAGCCTATGCTGGAGACTGAAGATTGTGCAGATTAGATTTTGCTGCAACCCAGAGAAGCAAATTTTGATGCCAGAAGGTAGGAAACAGATGACCACGAGGAGGAAATCTGTTTTGACAGATTTTCATTCATAGCATCTTACCAGGTATGCACCAAGAAGAATAGAAGTTGAACTGATAACCCTGTACTAACTGTTCAGCTTATTCTTTTTTCTTGTTAAATACAAGGACAAGAGCTTTTTGGTGTTTACTTAGATAGTTTATGGCTTTTCCAAATTGGTCTTTGTTTTTACTTGAAGTGCAAATATGTGAGGCAGATGTTAAAACAAATGACATAATGTTTACGTTAAGTTGCCTGTTTTGTTTTCATAGCCTTAAATTGGAATGTGAGAAACTGGCAAGTGAAAAGACAGAAATGCAGAGGCACTATGTGATGGTAGGTATCTAAGACTGGACTTTTTTCCTTTTCATAAAATATTATTGGCAAATACGTGTTAACATTAGAAAAACGTGAGTTAATGAAATGCTTGATTCTCTTTTCTCTTTACAGTATTATGAAATGTCATACGGATTAAACATTGAAATGCATAAACAGGTAAGCTTTAGTTAAATCTCAAGCTGGAATGAGGAATCAGTTCATAGGGTTTTATAATACTGGCTTTGTCCTCTATCCTGGGCTGTGTAGGTGGGTATTTTTTTCTGCCTTCCTGCAAGTTGTTGGTAGTATTGCTTCTTGACAGTAACCTAGTCCTAGGTGAGAGGTGTTTTGAAAATGTAAATGGATCTGTTTATACACACTGAGGAACTGAGATTCTTGAGTTTACTTTGTACCTGGAAGATTTATGCCCCTGGTTCAGAGATCTAGGGTATCTTGAACAGTTGCTGATGTTTACAATAGTTAATATTTTTTGTCATTTTGGGAAGGAAATGTAGACCTGTGGGGCAAAGGAGGGTACTTAAGAGTTTCTTTAATCAGATTAATATCTTAGTATACAGTTAACTCTGGAGTGCTCTTTATGCTTTGGGGCTACATAAAGTGGAACTCAGGATTAGTGTCTTATTAGCAAACATCTTTTGAAAAATTTCTCAGTTGAGGCAGGTTTGGAGGTGAAAAAAGCATTCTTTTATAGCCATGGCATATGTTGGGAGTTACTCTAGTCCTAGTGGTTTTAAAAGCATGAAAAGATTAGTGACTGGCTCCAGGTATGACTATGAGTTTGCAAGTTCCCATAAAATTCACACTTATGGCTACTATAATGGTGTATAAAAAGAGTATTGAGCTGGAACAAGGCACTAAGGACCTCATAAGAGAAGAAAAGCTAAATGATTGCTCAGCCCAAAGGACCCTCGATTGAGTAGTCATTGTCTGCCAAAGAAAGCATTAATAGCAGGGTGTAAGTATTCTGGAGATATGCTGACATTCACTTTTTCATCAAGACGGTGGTACAATAAGTCTTTTAGAAATCGATTGCCTCTTAAAAAATTATCATCAGATGAAGTTGCACAGTTGGACACATTTCAAAGTTCAACAATACAGTTCTTACTTGATGTATATGTGCTATTTCATCTAAAACCCTTGTTTCATTAAATTAAAGAGCATAGCTGACCGGCTGGGGCACAGTGGAGAAATTGATTAGTTCAGCCTTCAGATCTTCCTTATATTCAAAGACTTTCATTAAGCAAGTGTGTTTCAGAGTTGAATTCTGCTTTTGTAACTCTTCACTCTTTGATTTTTAATTCATCATAGATTTCATAATGTTAAGTTATCATCATGTACATTGGATCTGTTCTCAGATAAGTGTTTGGAAAGAGGTAGCTAAGTTCAGGGCCGTTCATTAGTAATACAATTGGGCCTTTTAAAAAGTGCTGATTTGACTCTGATGGGCAAAGTTGGTTACCCAGTTTATGTTGGGGTTTTGCCTTTGTTTTTGTGTTTGAATGGTACTCCTTTATTGAGACAGTTGTAACGTGCAGTATATAAGCTAGAAAATATGACTAACTTACAGTTCTGTGGTCATTTAAATTATGCAAATAAACTTGACTTAGGTGTTCTAAGTGCCCTCTCTTGTTTTTTGAAGGTCATGTTTTTTTTTTTGGTAATAAGTATTATGGAAGAGTTAAGAGGAGAATAAGCCTTTTCTTAAACCCATAACCTCATTGACTTCTTTTGCAAGGGAACACCACTTCTGTGTGATATTATATGCTGGTGCTGGGTTTATTGGGGGAGCTAAAAGAGGTGTGTAATTCTTCTGGATTCCTGTAGGGTATATGGTGGGATGACCTTTTCTTTATCTTGTAGGAGGAAGGGAGAAGGGGCCAAGAAGGTCAGAAGCCCTGGTGTGAAAATAGTTTTCTAATGGGTTTCTGTACTGCACTGGGCATTTGTTGGGTATATTCTGTCTGTCCGTGGGTCTGTATGCACTAATAATGTGCTGTGTATAATTGGCCCAGTAATTTGAAAAATGTGAAAAGCTGAGAGACACCCTGTTCTTCGTAGTAGGATATTAAGCCCCTGAAATTTAGTTTATATTGTAAATGCTGACAGACCCTTAACTAGAGTGGTGTGCAAAGTAGTGCTATAATTCAGTTTAAAGTGTTCTTACATTTGAAAAACATCCTTTTGAATGTCACACATTAATAATAAGTTCTGAGGAGGCATTTGGTGCTGCCAGTAATCATAATTCTTATTAAAACTGGTGACGTCTGGCCCCCAGGGTGTAGCCAGGCTCAAATTGATGCTTTTTGCCGCCTGATCACCAGCATGGCCTAAGTGCTCATTATATTGTAGAGAGGGCCTTTGGAGCTCTCATTAGATTTGACAGGAATTCTCTCTAGGGGGAAACTGGGCATTAGCAAGACTCCTGACAGGCTGAAATTATTCCTGCTTTATGGCTTATAACCAAATGTTAGCCAGGCATCATCAGGGGACACAAAAAATTGTCATTTCTGACAACATCTTTGTTACTGAAAAAAAAAATGCAGTGATGGGGAAACTTTGTACAGAGAGAGCTTTAATGCTGTTAAGATTTGTCTCCAGTATGATGATGACCACTCTGCATTCCCATCTTTCAACGGGTTTATGAGAAGGGGTGAATTTTAGAATTCAATGTCAGATCTCACCACTAACTTCTGTCTGGAAGAATGGTATAATTGTGGCTTCCTTAGTTGGTGTGGTGCCTGCAGTCCATGTTTATGTTGTGTCAACACTTCCTGATAAGCCTTTCCCCTTACTTTTTCTGCTCGTTTGTGACTGGTTACGAAAAGGCAGCTTTTTGTAGCATTAAGATAGTTCCCGCCCCCCACTTTAGGGCTGTCCATTTCTATCCATGTAGATGGTAAATTCTAATTGTTTCTAAGCCAGAGAGACATGGAGGCTTCTCATGAGAAAGTGAGACAATTCTGAAATCACCAAAGTGTTGGTGTACATTGAAAAAATAGCAACCCAATGTGACTGGTTATTTCAAGGACTGCTCCAGTCTGCATTACCTCCTGTGGTATTTTGGGGAGCAAGATGTACTGTAAATGCGTACATAAGCCTTATTTGTCTAACTTTGTGTGTCTTTTCTGCATGCTGATAAAACTGCCTCTAAGCAACTTGGGAGGCTAAGGCAGGAGGATGGCAAGTTTGAGGTCGGCCTGTACAACATAGCAAGACCACCTCTCAAAAAAAGAAAATTATTAAAAACAGTCTGTAAATTGTCATTTGTGTCTTCAGTTGCATAGCTTTGTTTTGTTTTTGGTGGACCTGGGGTTTGAGCTCAGTCTACCACTCGACCATCTCTAGTTCATTTTGCTCTGGTTATTTTGGTGTCTCATACTATTTGCCTGGGTTGACCTCGAATTGTGATCCTCCAGATCTCAGCATCCCAAGTAGCTGAGATTACAGGTATGAACCACTGTACTCGGCAGTTGTACAGTTTTCATTGATTTGTCTCTTACATTCTACACAGGCATCCTGCAGAATATATGGGGTAGGTGTTTTGTTCTGCTTTTCCCTGTGGGCATATGTTCAGTATCTGAGGCTTGCTTAAGGCCCAGGGTCTATTGAAGCTTCAGCTGGTGTTGCCTCATCCATGGTTACCAGTGCGGCTTCCTGTCCTAGCAGGCTGCCCTTGGGAGGCCGGTAGCAGAATTGCCTTTGGGCCTGTTTGTTGTGATCCATGCCTACCTAGTGTGCATGTCTCTAGTTCTCCATCTCTGTGCTGAACACATTTCCAGTTTGCAAGACCTATCAGAGCTAGCTGCGTTCTCTAGAAGTTAGGGAAATCAGCAGTGCTGGTTTTCTGTGATCTGTGGGAATAGAAAGTTGAGTCCCACTGAGCAATACTGTCCTCACTTTAAAATGTGTTTAGGAACAAAAGAAACATGTTGGGAATGCTGGCAGAGGCCCAGCTCTGGAAGTGAGTTTGATCAGTCACTTGATCTGTGCCTGCTGGAGACTGGGCGGATGAGCACCTGGGACTCTCCAGGCCTGTGACGAATTTAAATTAAAGGACTAGTTCTGGAAGGAAAGATAACACATTTTGCAATCCTGATTTTGGGTGGGTGAGGAGAAAAGGCCTAGCCTAGCATTTGCCAGCTTTGTGTGATATTTCACTAAGCATAGACTCTCAGTCATAGGAATCTTGGAGTGCAATTATTTTCACAGTTTTGATGTGTATTTTAAATTTTCTCTTACAATACTAAATTGCTTTGTGGGCTTTTTCCTTTTTTAAAAAAGTGTTCAGCCAGGTGCTGGTGGTGCTCACCTGTAATCCTAGTTACTTGGGAGACCCCCCATCTCCGAAATAACCAAAGCAAAATGGGCTGGGGGTATGGCTCATGTGGTAGAGAGCCTGCTTTGCAAGCTGAAAGCCCTGAGTTCAAACCCCAGTTTCACCAAAAAAAAAAAAAAAAAAAATTTGGGTGGAACTGTTAGGTATTTCTCCTGAAATTTCTTAGATGTGATACTCACTATCTGCTTGTTAGTTTAACCTTTCTTCATATTTTTTAACCCTGTTTTTGTCTGCACATTTCTCACTGAGCTTTTTTGGGTGGAGGGCATGGTGTGATGGGGATGGGACCCAGTGCCACTTCACACTTGCCATGTACATGCTCTGCCACTGACCTACAACCCTAGCCTTGGGAATTTTTTTTTCCTAAATCAGAACCTCAGACACTGAAATTACTAACTGGAGTATAGGCACTTAGGCTTAAGCACCACCAGGTGTTAATCACCTTGTAATACAAAGAGGGTAGCTGTCATCAAGATTGGAGTACTCCCCAACTTCCTTTTCATTAGCCAGGCCTGTCCTTTACAAGCTAAGTTCAAAGAGATAAAGCCCCTGCTGTATTTGAAGCTGAGATTCTGAGGTGTAAGATTAGCCAGCAGGGTTATTTTTTGTTGTTGTTTTTTTAATCAACAAACAGGGTTGATTTTTAAACTACTTACAGTAATTTCCCCAGCCTCTTCAGCATTTGGCTGATGGCTGATTTCTAAGGCCTGCACTGGGCTAAGAAGAGTGAGGCTCCAGAAAACTTAGTTATCACAATTAATAATAATTTAAAAATTAAATGCCTCTCCAGATCCACACAGAACAAAGTAACAGAATTTTT